CCACTTCTCCCAGTTATATAGAATCCTGCAATCAGAGGGAGGGATAGGACCTCGGAGGTCTCAGGCCAGCTTTCTCTCAGTACAACAATCTGTTGCAGAGTGTCCCTGGACGTTGGTCATCCAGCTTCCACTTGTTTATGTGGAAGCAACTATAGGTCACCACATGAGTGACCCCTGGTTGGTCTTAGTGAGTTCCTCTTGAGAGTAAACCCAAGTCTGACCTGGTGTGTCCTCTTCAAGCAAATCAAAATGATTTTCACTTCTCTCGGCAGTACTCATTTAAGTATCGAAAGACAGCTTTCACAGTCCCTTTATATGTTCTTTTATCCCCAATCCCATTAAACACTTCTGGTTTTCTTACCTGTTCCTCCTACACCTTTTTAGCATTCTAGTCAAATTCCTGCTTTGCCCCATTTAGAAAATGTCCCTCTTGAAATGTGGTAGCCATACGCTTGAGACAAGCTCTGATCTAATGGAACACAATTGAGTCAATAAAATATATTTAAAAAAAAAATAGTATATATGTAACCGATATATGGATGTGTTCATTAATCTTCTAGGCCAGTTTATGACGACTTTGGCACATGCTAAACCTCAGTTAACACACATTTTTAGGGGTTAAAGCCCCTATTAAGGCCCACTATTACATTCACATAAACTGTTGTTAAGATACCTTTTACACTTGAGCCTTTCCTCATTGAAACAATAGATTGCTTGTCCCAGTCAAATTCTGTGCCACTACTTTGGAATCTCTCTTTTCAGCTTGAGAGTTAGTAGAACTGTGATTCTTTCCCATTTAATATTTCAACCTCTGCTCCCAACTTTTGGTCCCCTGCAAATTTGGTAAATATATATTAAAATATGCACTCAGGTAAGAGTGAATAGAACATGTTATGCCTCTGTACTCAAGATGATTCTCTCAGGCAGGGCTCAGTCCACTGTGGCCCATGGGCCAAACCCATTACTCCTCCTGTTTTTGTAAATGAAATTTTGTTGCGACACAGCTATGCTTATTCACTTCCATACTGTGCATGACTGCTTTTGTGCTGTAACAGCAGGATTGGGTAGTTGTAGCTTAGGCCGTGTGGTAGCCAAGTCTACATTAATTACCAGCTGGCCTTTTAGAAAAAGTTGGCTGACCCCTCCTCCAAGGTGAGAGCAGCTGATTAATTCACATGCTTTCTGTTTGTGTGGACACAGTCTGTTTGTAAGCTGGACTATCCAGAACCCTCTCCAGAGCTCATTAGCAAAGGCTTTCCATAGCTTCCTTTTGTGTGTGTGTGTGTGTGTGTGTGTGTGTGTGTGTGTGTGTGTCTGGTTCAAATATTTTATGAGAAAAAATATGGTTATGTAACCTTATATGTATATGTTTAAATCACATTCTATATTTGCTTCCTCTCGCTTTAAATTATCTGATTGATTTCTATTATGCTGGTTTGGAAAGCTTTTCCCAACATCATTACTTCAGCTAATTCTTAAATTGGGAAACTGCCATCAGCAGAAATTTGCCTTCAGAGTTTGAGGGGAGCTGTGTTTGGTATTCATTTGTTTCTGGGGGCGAAGAATCCTGTCTTGGCATTAGAAAACTTCAGTGACACGTATTACTAACAAATATTATACAGTACTTATATGAGATTATAAAAGAAAGTGAGAGACTCCAGAAAACAATCCTTATTGCTCAACCCACATTGCCTTACTGAAGCTTTTAGTAGCTACATTATTTTGTTCTTGAATAGAATGCTTAAAGTTCAGTTCACAAGTTACACAATTAGACTTTCTTCAAGAAAAATGGTAATGAATTCTATGTTAAAATGGTTTTTTATGTTATTGTTGTTGAAGAATTGGATATAGTGTTATCTGACATAGCTACAACTTTCCTATTTTGAAGATTTGCTTACTGACCCACAAACAATAAGACAGAAACCCCTTATATTCTTTTCCTACACTAGTGTTAGCCCTGGGAAGTTAGAGATTGCATCACATTAATTCTCCAAGTGGAAAGAAAATATAATGACCTAAAAATTGCTCTTGTGTAATCTCTATGGTGTGGTCCTTTTTGAAGGACAGAGTATGGAGTTGTACTATTCACATTTAAAAAATCCTGGCCTCCTGGTGCTTACCACAGGCTGTGTTCTTACACTGACTGTACAGAAATAGGAGGCAGAGGAAACTCACCCCATATACACTTCGGCTCAGGCTCTTTGCCTGGTCTGTATTGTGAATGGGGAGACATTGAAAAAAAGAAAAAAAAATCCTCATTTGCCTGATGAGATGTTTTTATTGATTTTTTTTTTTGAGAGAAGAAGGGGTGGGGGTAGGGGGAGAGAGAGAGAGAGAGAGAGAGAGAGAAATTGATGTGAGATAGAAACATTGATTGGCCCCCTCCCATACATACCCTGACCAGGGATCCAACCCGCAGCCTAGGTATGTGCCCTGACGGGGAATCAAACCTGCCACCTTTTGGTGTACAGGGCGATGCTCCAACCAACTGAGCCTCCCAGCCAGGGCAAGGGTTCACATTTTAAAAAGCCCTTCATATACCATGTTATTGGTGCCTACATTAGCATTTTCTGAGCGTTTCCCAGGTGCTCACCTGATCCTGACCTGACTTCTTCAGCTGCTTTAGTGACACTGAACTGCTTGTGGTCTCATGCCCTGAAATTGTTGTTTCCCCCTCTCTTTGTACTATAACCCTTTGCGTGGAGAACTCATGTACCCTGTTTGGGCCTAGCCCTGCATTTTCCCCTTCAGGAAGTCTTCTCTTACTCAGGTGCCTGCTCCATGCAGCTTGCCAGCACTGTGCATACAGTGTTATATTATGCTGGTGTGTCTACTCTGTTGGCAATACTCTCACCCAGGATGAACGGAACAACCCACCTTCTCCTTGCATGGCTAAAGAAGGATCTCACAATGAGGCAGATGAATGTCTTCAGAAACTCCTGCTTCCCTGTCTCCAAGGGCCAGCCGTCCTGCTCAGGAATGTTCATGGCTCTGTGGGAAGTGCCCTGGCCACTGTTTGTAATGATCCTCCCTTCATTCTCCTCTCTTTTCAAACTTTGTCCCATGCTCAAACTCTCCGAGAGATACCCAAAAGATTAGTGAAACAGAGACAGGTCCCCAGCCTGAAAAAGAAGTGTAGATCAGAGATACAAAGCGGGAAGACATCTGCAGTGGATGCGTTTGAAGTTATGGAAGGCCGTAGGTGGGATGGGTAGAGGACAGGAGGAAAAGGTCCCAGCGCTCGGGCCAGGAAAGGGAAGCTTAGGAGGGGAACACAGCAATGAAGATTGAAACAAGCCGTCACAGCATTGGGTGAAAGAAGAAAGGAGTGTAACTGTGAGCTGAGGATAAAGAAGGAATGAGACCATAGCGATATCTAAGAAAGAACTAACAAGCAGGTAGTTAATGTCCAAAAAGTGAGACCTCTGTGGCAATAACCCTTCTTCAGAATGCTGTTCATGAAGACAGAGCAGAGAGATGTCTGCTGGAAGGGAACACAAGGTCAAGTGAGGGGATGTTTCTTCTTTTTTAAAGATGGATTTAAGATGGATCAGCTTTTAAGAGATGAGAGCACATCTAAAGGGCCATGTGAACCAAAAGTCATGGTTCACCGTCTGTAACGTGGGAGGAGATGGGGTGCTGATCGTGCACCAGTGTTGAACGGTCATAGGAGCACAGACCCTTCACTCCCTGCAGTAGGACATCAGGAGAAAACAAGCGTCGGTACAATGGGCCTGCAGGTTTCAGGAAGGGAAGCGAAGGGAGGTGCTCCCAGATGGTTATTTTGTCCATGACAAGGCAGGGGAAGAGAGTTCAAACTCCAGGCATCATGAGGATTCCCTACCACACAGGGTGAATGGCCTCTTTGGGAGAAACCCTTACACAATGAAACACTGCAGATGAACCTTTGCTTAAAGTTTCACTTGGTTGGAGCATCGTTCCGTGTGCCGAAAGGTCATGGGTTCAATTCCCTGTCAGGGCACATACTCAGGTTGCAGGTTTGATCCCTGGTTAGGGTGTGTGTATCGGAGGCAACTGATGGATGTTTCTCTCTTTCACTTCCTCTCTCTCTCAAATCAGTGAGGATTTAAAAAATATCCTTTCCTATTCTAAGCCATGTATTCGTTTCCTGTGATTTTTAGTTTTAATTTTTAGGGGCTTTTGTTTGGGATAAAAATAGGGGTGGCACATTATAGAAAAGGGAACCTCAAAACACTTTACAATTCTGGGTGTTTCTGGTCTCCTGGAAAGAGAGGCTAAGAAAGTCGTTAACTTGATGTTAAATGCACTCTCCTTAGGTAAAGGTTCCCTCTTATTTGCATTTCAGCATTGCTTGTTATAGATTCTGTCTTCAAATGAAAAGCCCTCCCCAGCCAGTGTAAGAGTGAGTGCGGTTGTGGTTGGAGCGCGTGTGTGGCTGCTGTCTTGTCAGTCTCCCCGTCTGTGCCGTGTGCCAACGCGCCCAATATTTACTAACCCATGAGCTCCGGGGACGCTGCTTCGCCGGCACCTTAAATCCTCACGAGGAATTTTCAGCTGTGAAGGGCATACTGATTGTTTTTAAACTTGCAGCCACCAACCTAGCCCTGAACATAATGTAGTCTGATAACTAATAAAGGAATGTAATTGACTTTTCAATTTCTGAGGAGAGGGAGGGGAAATAACACCCTTAAACAGAAGTGTTCTGTTAATGGATGTGACAGACCCCGTTGTTATGTAAAGACAACCCTCCTGCTATTTCCCAGAGCTGTGTGGGGCTGGGTGGCGCATTTCCCTGGCGTGGCGCCCCACCTCCTCTTCCCTGAAAATATTTGTGGAGAACCTAGTGTGTCCATAAATTTAGAAGTGATTCAATGGCTGCATTGGCGGGGCTAGATAACGCAGTTACAAGTGTTGTTCGTTTTATTTCTGGGTGGGATGGAAGAGGGAAATGCAGTACTAACTTTTTCCTTTTGGGAAAACTAATCCGATATTCTTTTGTTATCACCCTTGTTCTCTAGGCATTAAGTGTAACTGAAACCCTGATTAAACCCTTGGAAAAATTCAGGAAAGAGCAACTGGGAGCTGTAAAGGTTGGTGTCTAATTTGAGTACACTTGTAAACAGAAAACGTCGGTGCCTCTGTGCCTCCATGTGCACTTTACACACGCTTGGCAGCTTCGCAGGAGCTGTTGGAATAAACCATCTGCTGTTTTATGTTTTAAATGTGCATTTTCCCCGGGGCGGGGGGGGGGCTATGAAATGAAAAACAAAACAAAAAACCTGGACAGGACCATGAAGCCTCTAGTAATCTTCTTGGGCTGCACTATTCCATATAGAGTTTTAAGACTGTCTTGAACCAAGCAACACCTTTACCCAGAGAGGAAGTGCCTAACTCCGTCGTATGGAGGAGTGGAGCATTGCCGTGGGTTAGAGAGCTATCTGGAAACACCACGAAGCCATTGAAACTAGGAAGAGGCTGTTAGGCTATTGGGATATGATTTCCTTCCATTTATTGAGCTGCTGTTAGGTGCCAGTGTTGTTATAGGAGCTGGGTCATCCAGGATGAGTGAAGTACACTGCGCTCAGGGATGGAGGAGTGAGCCAGGATTTCTGGGAATAATGCATGATGTTGCCACAGGGGGCCTGGGATATATTTAGCAACTACTAACGTTTTCCTTAGAATTGAGCTTTGAGATTATCCCAGAGAAATAAATTCCACTAACCTTTCCTCTGAATTTTGTGCCATGTACTCCAGGGAGAAAAAGTAACATTCTGGGTGTGGTTAACCATTTTTGGCTTGGCCCAAGGGGGAGAGAATAACATCAGTTTTAAGCAGGGAAGAGAGTTTTTATATTTGTACCACCCCCCGCATGTGAAGTGTTGGGTATGTGAAGTGTTTTTTATCTTCCTAAATATACTATTAAATTAAAAAAAAAATACAAATTAACATTGAGACCTCAGTGGCTGTAGCTCTGCAGATGGGCCCAAAGAGCACCAAGTTTTTAGTTGCTATTTATGGAATCAATTTTCTTTTAAGCCATTTGTTAAACTGTTAGACATTTCTTTTTAGTATAGTATTTTACAGTTCATATATATATATGTGTGTGTGTGTGTGTATAGACATGCCCTAGCTGGGGATCAAACCTGTAACCTAGATATGTGCCCTGACCAGGAACTGAACCTGCAACCTTTTTGGTGTATGGGATGATGTTCCAACCAACTGAGCTACCTGGCCACGGCTACGCTATGTTTTGAGGCGAGGTCAGGAAGGGTAGGTCAGGGAGGATGTCTCCAATTTCCTTCCTGGGATCCTTAGCTGAGCTCCATGAAGCTGAATTGTGTTCTCTGGCTTTGTAGCAGGACACTGGCTGTCTGGTTTCCCACCTGAGACTTGGACAAGTACTGGGCTTTAGCTTCTGATGTGTAACATGAAGGACTTGGGGGCTCTGACTGCTCTGTTTTGTTGTTTTATTATCTGTTTTATGATCTTGTCTTCTTAGGGTATTTTAAAACTTAAACATCTTAGTTCTTTTCTCTTTTAACATTTCATTGCTAGGTATTGAATGCAAACAAATGTCCATTTATTATTTTTCTTATTTTACTGCAATGATGGTAGTTGTATGGCAAGGATTATGTTCTGGAAAAGAAACATGATTGTGACTTAAATATATTTTCTTTTTATTTACTATCCACCCTGCTTGGTTCTCCTAAATTACTTCCTCACCTTGGATTTTCTATTGACTCCTCTCCGTCAGATGTCCCCAGCTTCTTGATCAGAGTATAGCCTATAAAGCAACTTGCAAAAGAAACTGCCATATGGAAACGAGAAATTATTTTAATAGTTTTGGTTTATGCCTGGAGCTGGTGGGTGGCCAAATTCTATCCCAAAGTCCCCCTTTTTTATTTCCTCATTATTCTTCTGGCTTCAAGTTTATGAAGGATCCATCCTACCTTCTTGTGCTGTACAGTATGTGTGTTGCCTGTTATACCTATTGATGTTACCTTTGAGCAGGCCAGTCACTGTAGGTCATAGGCAGAAGCCTTTATTTTTGTTTTACCAGCAGTCTTGTATATTATAATAAAGAATAGAGAATGGTGATGTTCTTGTAATAGATAAACATCTGCTTCTTTTATTAGATTGCTAAACCTTTAAGAGAAAAGACTGTGCTTTATTCTTTGTTTCCTAGTAGCCTCTACTCCGTCTTACTCTATAAGGTATCTAATAAATAACCAATTCTACTGAGAATTCTAGAAGGCTTTGTAATCGGGGCATTTGATTATTTTCTACATCTCTGCTTCCTAAGCATTTAATCATATTTTGACAAGCACATTGGTCTTGTTTCACTGGTTTATCTACTTACCTGGGATACTTAAGAACACACACACACACACACACACACAAAACTGATTCTCTTAGGTTAAGGATCTTCTTTGAAATAGCATAAGGCAGGTTCATGTGGGGATTAAAAAAAAGTCTTTAAAAGTTGACCACAGCAGAATTTTTTTGGATGTGAATGACAAAATGTTTGTCTTCTCTTTTCTCCTTTTTCCCATCTGGTACTGCCCTTCCCTTCGCCTTCATCTCGAAGCTCTTTCAGTTCTGTTTACTCTTTTCTCCAATTTCTACAATCCCAATTATGTGTTTAACTTGTGGTTTTCCTGTCATCTAAACTGCTAGGTGGTTTTGTAAATTGGATTTTTTAAAAGCCCCAAGGTATCTTTTCTACTGTTTGCTTTTTCTCTGTGGCTGTATGTTCCTTCAGTCATCTCTCTTTACTTTGGGCGTGTCTCTTCATTCTGTATATTCTGCTGCATTTTCTTATTTACCACATTCTCATCTCTGTTGAAAAAGCCCCATTTTCCATCGCAGGACACCAGTGGGTCTCTGCTGTGTCACACCAGGTGGCTGGTCAGTGTCCCTCACGGCCTAGCTCAACTCTTACCTCCTCTGAAGCGGTGTTGCCTCCCTCAGGGTTTGTCACTTATTCCCAAGTGTCCACACTGCACTGTCAATAGTTGACTTAGGTGCAGGAAACGAATACAGGTCCCAACCCACATAGAAGCCAAGTCAAGGTGTAAGAACACGGAGAAATGCCCGATCTCGGTAAGAGTCACAGTGGGATAATTTAGAATCACTCCTCCAGATTTTCAAGCAATCAGGTAATGAAAATGTGGCTTCCAGTAAAGAGGGGCGTGCCGAAACCACATGGGTACAGCAAAGCTTACTATTATTTTTAATACATTGTTATTGATTTTAGAGAGGTAAGGAGAGGAAGAGAGAGAGAGAAACATTGATGTGAGAGAGAAACATCGATTGGTTGCCTCCTGTATGTACCCCAGGAATTGAGACTACAACCTGGGTATGTGCCCTGACCAGGAGCCCAAACGGCGAACTTTTGGTGCACAGCCAGAGCTAAACTTCTATTGATAATAGAACTTGTTTAAATGCTATTCTGCACAGGCTTCTTCTGTTGCTTTTTGACTTGGAAGGCCCTTCTGTCTTCTGATGCCTGTGAAAATACTTTTTTTTTATGACTTCATTTTTTACTGTTACTCGTTCAATTCATCTGGAATTAATTTTTTTATTAATATTTTTTAAATTGATTTTGGAGAGGAAAGGAGAGGGAGAGAGATAGAAACATCAATGATGAGAGAGAATAACGCATATATATATATTTCTCCCCAGTGATTTGTAATGACACCTTTTTATGTATGTGTATATATATGTATATATGTGTCTGTGTGTATATATATATATGTATGTATGTATACACACACACATATCATTTCTGATGTATTCAGAAGATCTGATTGTTTAAATTGTGGTTCTTAGCTTTATGAATTTCCTTTACCAGTTACACAGTGTGCATCTTATTTGAGCAATTTTGCTGTTTTAAGTAATAGCTCTTCTCTATTTTTTTTTTTTTTTGGCATGTGAGATTTTATTAGTAATGACAAGCTGACTTCCCATTAATTATTAATTACATTTAACCTATGAACATAATTTTGTTTGGCTTACTCATGTCAAAACATTTTTAAATTTGTTACCACTATTTAAAAATCACTGGGTTTTTCAGCTCTTCCAAAAAAAATCAGAGGACGGCCTCTAGGCTGGGCCTACATTTCCATGAGGCAGAAATGTGATGGAGCTGTGGTGGCTGCCTTCCCCTCCGGAGTAGATAGGCTTTCTGGTTTTCCACTGCCCCACCCGCCTTAATGAGTTCCTCTTCTAGCTTGCTTTAGTCATTATATTGCTACCCAACCTTTATTATTATATTAGTACTTGAGTTTGTAATGCAGTTTTATAAAAGAGCTTTCATTTGTATTTAATTTGAACCTTGATAGAGCCTTTTGTCTTATGTTGCTCAACTATACACACACACACACTCACACACTCTAGAGCAGCGGTTCTCAATCTGTGGGTCGTGACTCCTTTGGGGGTCGAACGACCCTTTCACAGGGGTCGCCTAAGACCACCGGAAAACACATATATAATTACATATTGTTTTTGTGAATAACACATTGTTTGTGCATAGTTTTTATCGCGCACTAACAGGTGGCGTGGGCCATTTTTGCTAATTTTTTGCTCAAATGGTAATGTTCAGTAAAATTATGATAACTTTAGTTTACGTATTTATGTTACCCGCATTCTACCGCTAGTCTATAAAAAACGTATTAATACGTGTCCCGCGCTCTACTACACTGGTAGAATGTATAAATACGTTTCCCGCATACAATGTGTTAATCACTATGCTTTAATTATGTTCAATTTGTAACAATGACATTGGGGGTCACCACAACATGAGGAATTGTATTAAGGGGTCGCGGCATTAGGAAGGTTGAGAACCACTGCTCTAGAGGCCCGGTGCACAAAATTCGTGCACTTGGGATGGGAGGTGGGGGTCCCTCAGCCCAGCTTGCACCTTCTCGCAATTCAGGAGCCCTCGGGGGATGTCTGACTGACGGCTTAGGCCTGCTCTCCGCTGTGGGAGTGCACTGACCACCAGGGGGCAGCTCCTGTGTTGAGCACCTGCCTCCTGGTGGTCCATGTGCGTCATAACGGCCAGTCGTTCTGCTGTCGTGCCGAATGTGAAGGGGCGCAGGCATGGCCGAGGGACCCTACCAGCGCACGATCGGAGCCGGGGAGGGACATGGGAGGTTGGCCAGCTGGGGAGAGACCATGGGAGGGCTCCAGGGTGTGTCCGGCCTGTCTTTCTCAGTCCCGATCGGCTGGACCCCAGCAGCCAGCTAACCTACTGGTTGAAGCATCTGCCCCCTGGTGGTCAGTGTACATCATAGCGACTGGTCGACTCTCTGCCCCCTGGTGGTCAGTGCATGTCATAAAGAGTGGTTGAGTAGCCTTAGCATATCATTATCATATTACACTTTGATTGGTTGAATGGCCGACCAGTCGACCGGATACTTAGCATAGTAGGCTTTTATTATATAGGATAATTCATACACACACACACACACACACACACACACACACATATCCTATATTGCAGTGTTAAAGAAATAATTCATATTATTTCAGTACAAAAAGTTATATGAGCACAAAGAAACAATAATACTCTAAAGGGCATTGAGAACAGATGCAGGAAGAAATAATTATGTAAGTCTTATGACTCAAAAACAAAAACACAGCAGCATTTGTATAATACCATACTCAGTGTGAGTGAATGTATTTCCATTCTCAGTGGAGGGTGTAATGCTGTTTCTTGGCTAAATTCTTTCTTCACAGAGCCTTGATATCACCCTTTTCTTTCATTCCAAACTTGACCCACATGTTAATTTCCACCCCCCACTGTTGCTGAGTGTGCTGCGTGTTTTGATGCTGATTTTAGCATCATTCCTTCTTTCGTCCCATGTTGTGATTCAGAAGAAATCATGAGTAGAAATGTTTTCCACATTCCTGGTCAGAAGTAATCAGCAAAGATAGTGAACCTGTTTTACTTGGTGACCTTGCATTGCAGTAATCTTATTGTAAATGCAGCTGCATGGCTTCCATTCCTGTTCTCTTTAACTATGCAGACATGCTGGGAGAATGCTGGGACTCCGGGCAGTTAGAGTCCTAAGTGACCATGACTAGAACTTGAGTCTCCTGACACCTAATCCAGTGTGCCCTGTACAATATTAGCTTTTCTGGTTTTTATTTTTATTTATTTACTTTAAAAAT